AAGAAGCACCCCTCATACTCTACTATTAATGATTTGTCGAGCTCAATTCTGTTTCAAAACAGGCCTTCGATGAGGCAGCCCTTCTCAGTTCGCCTGAAGAGTCTAGCTGAGAAAACTGGAGTCTCACTTGAACACAGTTTAATGGCTCCTGTAGCATACCCGCCACCGTGGCAATGGCAGACTATAGACTGCGATGTGTCTTTTCTAGAAGTTACAAAACATGCGCCTATTGCCCATATCCGAACATATTTCCTGGAACTTCAACACAAATACACACGTCCTGAGTTCTTTACAGATGCCTCTAAGACCAACTCCTCTGCGTCCTACGCTGCTGTTGGCCCTTCCTTTTCGGATGCTGGCCCTCTACATCCAGGCACAAGTATCTTCACAGCGGAAGCTTACGTGATACTTGTGGCAGCTAAACACATCAAACAATTACAAATACAAAAAGCAGTAATTTATACAGACTCCCTCAGTGTGGTAACGGCTCTGCACAGTCTTAAAAAACAAAAAAACCCTGTCCTTGTCTCACTTTACTCCGTTTTTTGCACACTCTACACATTCAACCAACATGTTGTAGTGTGCTGGATGCCAGGGCACCGTGAGATCCAAGGCAACGTGAGGGCGGATCAGCTCGCTGCATCCGTCCACAAAAACACTGCCCCTACACCCATATCAATCCCGGTTCTTGATCTGAAGCTGTCTCTCAAACGAAACCTCAGAGACTACTGGCAGAGCAAGTGGGATAAACACACACAAAACAAACTACACGTTATCAAGCCACACCTTGGCCATTGGCCACCAGTATCAAAATCTCGTCTAACAGAGGTAACACTAACAAGACTCAGGATAGGACACACATACACGACACACACACATCTTTTGTCCGGTAGTGATCCACCACTGTGTGACAATTGTGGTGAGGCATTGACAGTTCTTCACGTTTTAATCCAATGTAAACAGCTAGACACTCTAAGAAGACAACACTTTTCATTACCCTACCGACAACATATACCATTACACCCCGCAATGTTTGTCGGTAGGGAACCACTTTTCACCCATAAATCATTGTTAGCTTTTTTAAGAGATGTCAATTTTTACTATGTAATATACCCAGGCATTGCGTAGCGTGACCTCTCAAGGGAGGTTGCTGCTGCAGTGATTACATTTAAAAGCACTTGCCTCGCAGCCCTTGGACACAAGGGCGCTGATGAGGCACGTGTGCTAGTGCCAAATATTTTTACATGTTTTTATTATCAAAATCTTTGTCACCCCTTTTATTATGCATATCACGCCACTGTTATGATCTTAATACTTATGTTTTTACCCGCATTATCGCGAGGAATTTTAAGGCCCCTATACAGCCACGCAACATATCATTGTCTCATCTCTACTCATCGAAATCCTAAATCATCGAAATCCTAAATCATCGAAATCTTACTCATCGCAAACCTAATGCATATCTTGAAGTAAGAACAAAGACTTTATGAAGCTGTTACTGCTACGCTTGCACATCAAGTTGTTTCATAAGAGATGGTTGAGTTCCATATGTACGAAGACCGAGTTTTGGTTTTAAGTGAAGTTACAGTGATATATAATCTTGGAGTGAATTCATATGGTTGCAAGTTTTTAATCAAGATCAGATAGGCAGGGAGAAAAAGCTGAGAAGCAGCTTGGCTAGTACACTTTAGGGAGTTCACAGCAGCACACATTAACACCCTTATAAAACAGGAAGTGAGGAAAAAAAAAAGGAAGGATGGAGAAACAGGATTATCAGCAACAATGCAACACATTTCCATTAGAAATAAAATTAATAAGAATACGTGGTAACAACTTATAACCCAAAATTAAACATCAAATTTTGGAGATTTGCAAGAAATTGACTCTGAAAAACACTAAATTTCCTCCTCAAAAAGTTATAATACATGCCAAAAACACCCTCCAAATTTGAAGAAAAAAAAAAAAACTCTTAAGACTCTGAGCTCTAAATATGAGCTATAAAACACGAAGAGTTGCACGGCTCTTTTCCCTAGTGATGACAGCAAGACTTGACAAAACTAATTTAAATGTCTCTCTCTTCCCTTCAAATTTTGTTAAAATCGAGACTGCAGTTTACATAAAGATGCAGGGTATCGTGAAAAGTTGAGAACAATGTTTAACATTGTGAAATGGCTGAGTGTATTATCAGAGACCTTGAAATGGAGGGCTCCAGATAATTTTCACCACCCAGAGATGTTTACCGTGTAGTCAATGCACACTGCACATGCCTTTTTGCATGGCATTTCCATTAGTGTGATAATGGCTGGGAATTGAAATACCAGCTCAGCACCCGGCGATAAATGTCACAGTCACTATGCAATAATGCTCAGTCCAGATTTTACACAGCTTTTTTTTTTTAATACAAACTTCACATTTGCATCTCATACATTACTCACAATTATGATTGTCACAATAGTCAGCACCTACTGAAAGATTGAATTATTTTTGTCAATGAAGGCATTATTATTTGTGTTTAATCCACTTTGGTTACAAAGTAAAACAAACTAGAAACTGATTTTATAAAACATTTTTGTGTTTCGACTCAACTCTGTCGATACTGAGAATGCCGCCTCGCCTCAGTGGTCTAGTGGCTAAGATACTCGGCTGCTGACCTGCAGGTCGAGGGATGGAATCCCGGCTGCGGCGGCTGCATTTCCGATGGAGGTGGAAATGTTGTAGGCCCGTGGGCTCAGATTTGGGTGCAAGTTAAAGAACCCCAGGTGGTCAAAATTTCCGGAGCCCTACACTACAGCATCTTTCATAATCATATTGTGGTTTTGGGACATTAAACCCTACATATCAATCGATACTGAGAATGCCAGACAAGTATGCGTCCTTTTCTTCACATCCTTGTTTTTCAGTGGTGCCTTCTTTCAAAGAACTATGAACCAGCTAGCCGAGGAAGCAGTTTTAGCCAACCACTGACACAACATTTACTTTATTATAGTCATGTACAAGAATAAGTCTGCAGAAGCCCCGCATAATATCGCTCTGTTATGAAAAACTAGGCTAGTTGGTTTTTCTTTATGGTAAAAATAGTGCAAATTAACAGTAACATGAGTAGGACCCAGGAAAGGTACTGAACTAACAACTGTCCAGTTTGTTATACAGAAAGGAATAAATGCAAGCAGTCCAACTGCATGTGCACCCTCACACAACAGATATTTGTCACATTGTTCAGGGAGGCTGATTTCACGATCATAGAAACAGATGGATGGGGTAGAAATGCGAAGATCATGGTTGTTCTCAATACAGAGAGCTCCTGTATCACATACTTGATCTACTTGCGTAAAGGCATGCATGTTATGTGAATCTTTCTTTTTATAGCTCATACGTGCAAAGAAACACACCTTCTAAGTTTAAGAGAAAATGATGCGTACCAGGCAACTGCAATGAATTCACAGGAATAACGAATGTCTGTACATTGCACTTATTTCCATGGCTTTATTCAAACAGTTTATTTATGGCTACAGCAAAATACATGTTTAGCTTGCCAGTACTTTCTTGAAGAATCTCCAAATGTTTATCCTGCTGAAGGTGACATTTCGCTCTCTCATATTTTTGTAAGTGAATTAGTGCAGTACCATGCCGGTACAAGCCTTTCACATTATTTGGGTCCATCTTCAGTGCATGTGTGCAATTTTCAACGGCATGGTCATACGAATAATTCTTCAGCTGACAGGCAGCAATGTTTAGCAGACACTTCTATTTCAAATCTTGGATGTCTAGTCCTAGCTATGTAGCTACATCACCAGGCACATTATCCTTCTCTAATGAAATGACATACTTGTATGACCAGCTAAACCGTCTGAAGGTCCATCTGTGGTTTTTTGCAGAGAACCACAGATGGTTCTGCAGAGAACCACAGAGAACCACAACTGCCCTTTTCCTTGAGTATTGCAGCTTGTCTGCACAAGTTATATCATGGGGCGCGTTACTGAACAGACACGGGGCGCGTTACAGAACGTTACAGACATGGGGCGCGTTACTGAACGTTTTCAGTTCTATTCGAACTCTGTAGCTCCTAGGGACCACGTCAGTCTTCTCAGGTGGTACTCTACAGCTAAGTGACGGATGTCCTTCGAAGTGTTCCCTTGTGTGCGTGAGACGAAGTCCATCGCTGGCTGGGTTTCAAAGCAGAGGTAGGCAGCTTTTGGTATGCACGGCACTGTAATATTCAATGGTAAGGTAAACAATCAAATCAAATTTTAATTCTACGCTGTACAAACTTGCAGATGGAGGACTACCGAAAAAAAAAAAAAAACTGCCGGGAGGCGGTTTGACTAGTCCGTATGTGGGCAGTAGCAAAAAACAGTTCACAAACAAAAGCCCGGCCTTTACAATTATATTGCGAAATGACTTGTCCGGCGCTTCCCATTCTTCAAAATGAGGGTCCTTATCAGTCATTGAAATGCTTCAAATGCCAGACATTCAAAAGCCACTACACACAGCGATGCACGCACAGAGATGACACGATGGCAGTGCTGAAGAATCGCATTTTCTTGTGGTGTTTCATTCGGCATGCTTTGAAGTGTCAAGTACTTGCGTGGGTTTTAAAACTGACCATTCGGTCATTCCCTGAAAGAACGATAACAGATGCGCGCACGTCATACAACAGCGCGACTACTCGTGACACCACACACAAAAAAATATAAGTCTAGGCTGCACAGAGCTTCTGAAAAACCACTAGATTCAACAAAAAAAAAGACGCTAAATTACTCAAAGAGCTAAAAATCTCAAGATCTGGGGATAAGTCTCTTGATCAATCCACAACCTCCTCTTATAAATCTCTAGGGCTGGCGCCCAATCTGGCCCGTTGCAGTTGTGTCAGTTGCGTAGTTACAATCTACTATTATCACTTGCCTGCGCAGGTACCAAACGTATGTACATTTTTCGGCCTGATTAAGATTAAAAATGAGCAAAAAGAGTCAATAATAGCAAAACCAACGGCACAGCCGCACAGCAAAAGCGCGTCGCGCTGTGCGAGGGACGCGCGGAGATTGTGGTTGCGGTTGTTTGACTGTAGAGGGAGTGACATCCACAACTTTAGTCATCCGGTAGCTAATCTCTGTGGGGTTCTCGGTCATATTTTTTTTAAATTAATTGTCACTTCTTGTTCCAGGCTGGATTCGTCATCGACCTAACGTTTAAGGAAGCAACTGAAGAGATCAGACTGAAGATAATCGGCCAAGGTCCTCGTATCCACTCGTTGAGCGTGATTCAGCTGGTGTTTGCGCATGCTTTGAAGCAGCTGAGCCATGGACTTCAGCGTCAAGTCTTTCAAAGGTCTTGCGGCAGAAGCCGCAACAGTGTTCACCAGGGCCGTTCAGGTGACAGAAACAATACTGTGCTCCATTTTGTGCCCAGCTGTGGTCTACTTTTGCACGCCTTGTCATTAGTCGATATGACGGGTACTTTCAGAACCAAGAGTTTACAGCATATAGCAGTATTTATTGTGAGCGTCGGTGTTTACTTACAAGAAACGGAAGCGTTTTGCTCAATAGACTTGACAACAGCCAGTATTTTTTTTTTTTCGTCTTGCCGAGGCTAAATAACGATGTTCGACGCACTGCCGCTGATCTTATCACAGTTCACACAGGAACTCGGGTCGAGTTCACTTTTTTTCCCCTCCCATGCCCCCGTACGTACTGAATGTGCTGTTTGTGCAGCAGAATCTAATGTGCATCAAAAGCTGTTGCGTGTTGATGTTTGGATGTTGATGTTTGTATCCAAACATCAACTCAGCCACTCACCACACTTTACTATTTTTGTTGGCTGTCTGTTCTGCAATCGACAGGCTGTCAAGATATTTGCTGATCAAAAACTATTATCACTCATAATAAGCATCGTTAAGTAATGACTGCAGGGGCTTTTGTGCTGTTTTCCCAATTGTCATGCTGGTTGGTACATAATTTGTGCATTCGACCAAACGGGTGAACTTGCCAAGAAGCACTGTAGAAGTTCTTTAGAACATGTAAAGAACGAAGCGCCAATATATCAGGGAGGCTTATGCCATGTTTTTCTTCAACAGTACACTGAGGAACGACTGGGAACATCTGACAAAACTGAACTTGATGCACACTTTGAGACGTTGGCTCAACGTTCTGACAGAACCAAGTATTGGACTGAAAGGCTGGTTGGTAAAACAGAAGCAGTCCTTCAACCCAATCCAAGTAAGCTAATATTTTATTTGGAAAATTAGCCAGTGAGACCTTGTTTGTGTTTAAACATGTAATGATTATTCACACAGCTTTGTTCACATAAATCTTCATATATACCCAATAAGGGCACTGTAAGCAGCAACAAGCTAATGTTTCATTCACATCGCTGGAGATGTTTAAGTAAACACTGTTTGCAAAGTTGAATCTTGTATAAGCACAACTGAACAGTGCAAAAGTGCTAGATTAGCTGAAAACTAACTTGGCATAAGTCATTCAATATTGTTGACATTCAAATAAAAGAGGTTTATGTACTACGGGTGATAGTGATCTTTATTATTCATTTAGCAATTAAAAAAAGGAAATTTATATGTTGTACATTTGTTTTATATGTATACTCAGTTTCTTGAACATGTTAACATGAGTGGTTTCTGAAGTCTAGATTAACAGCGTGTGGCTGTGTTCCTCTTTGTTGCTGTTACTCATATGCTCACTGACAACTTGCTGTCAGAAAAGCACACACCACTAAAATAGCTCATGAAAAAAGCCAGTAGTATTCAATTGCATTAGTTAAGGCAACATAACCAAAAACAAATTATTTAAACCATAAAATAAGATCAAATGGACATTTTATTTTAAAAAATAATTATTTGAGTCATATTTTTAACTTTCAGGCAAATGTAGAACACGTGCAGATAATGTCAACTAATTCAGTGTCTCTTCTAAGAAATTAAAACATTAATAAATGCTGCCATAATGCATGTAACAAATGTGCAAAAGCTTCTCCCCTGTCGCTTTTTCTTCATTGCCACAGACTGTTTGCTACAAGTGACCAATGATAATCATCAGAAGTAATGAAATACCATGCTCAGCATTTAGTAACCCTAAATGAACATAATGCATCATAAATAATTTTCTTTTAACAGCCATGTTACAGAACTTTAGTCTTACTGCATCAATGCATGTTCCTGCTGGCAAGCCAATTAGCAGATGTCATAATTTATAAGTCCTGAGAATGAAATAGGCTCCAAAGTTTTGCTTTCTATATAATCCTGAATATCTCCCATTAGTCATGTGTACTGTTACAGTGGAATCTTGCTGATACTAATTTCATGAGATCCATAAAATAGAATGGGTTATCCAAAAATTGTGGGATCCGAAGTAAGCTCGAAATTTTTGAAAGTAGGTACTGTTGTTAACAAGCTCAATAGGAAAGGTTCATGTGGCATTTTCAGTTGGTGTGGCAGTGGCTGCCTCATTCTCTCCTAAGAATGATTCCTTCAGGCCACTGCTACATAACATAAATGACTGTAGGTATGTAACCCTTAGTTTGCAAGTCATAGGAATTTTATTTGAGGTAATAATCTGCAATCTTGTCCTATGGGGATGATTCTGGAAAAGGTGGCACTCTGACTGTTATAGATGAAACTCTATTCGTTCAACTTCTGCCTAGGAAATGAAAAGAAGCAGTAAATGCTGAACACCGATAATGGCAATCATAATCGTTGGCCATCTCTGATCTGGTCATCAGTGAAAGCATCTGCTTTTATACACGCCTTATCGAATCTCCCAGCGTTATCACTAGTGTTCATGTTAGCTGTAGAATAAACCAGGTCACTTGGTCTAGTGCTTAATTTCATCAGAACAGCCCCGCCACGGTGGTCTAGTGGCTAAGGTACTCGGCTGCTGACCCGCTGGTCGTGGGATCAAATCCCGGCTGTGGCGGCTGCATTTCCGATGGAAGCGGAAATGTTGTAGGCCCGTGTACTCAGATTTGGGTGCACGTTAAAGAACCCCAAATGGTCGAAATTTCCAAAGCCCTCCACTATGGCATGTCTCATAATCATATGGTGGTTTTGGGACGTTAAACCCCACAAATCAATCAATCATCAATCAATTTCAAACAATCTGAAACAGTCACGATATTTTCCACCATTGTGGTGCAGCCTATGATGAACGGTGGTAACATTTTTTTTTTTGCATTCTGTTTACATAAATATGGAAAAAGTAAGTGTGTGTGGCACTATTAACCTGTGAGTTCCATAGATACGGGTAAAAGCACGCTTGTGCAGGTGTACTATCACATATCTGATGAATAAGCTATCACATGAACCATACAAAAACTAATGGCTCTTTGTGGATACTTGTTGGGAAATGAAGTATTACCACAAGAAATATATACAGAATTGTTGACATTATCCACAGTTTTCCCAGTGGGATTCCATTATGTTATGTAAGCTTAATAGTACCCTTCCCCTTTTATTTTCTCATAATGGTGGTGATGTGTATTGTTGAGTGGCAAGTGAGGCAAGTCTGCCCAACAAGAGCCGCTAATTTCATTTCTTCGTATTTTCATTCTTGCAGATGTGCGCGTAGAAGATTATCTATTTGAAAAACTTGACAAGAAACGAGACAGGTTAAATAATACAGAGTTACTGGGCCAAGACATGATAGATGCTGGAACTGACTTTGGTCCTGGCACACCTTATGGTACGTGAATGATCTCTTATTTTTGTGTATTATACAGCATGTTGAAGACAGCGAAGATCAGTCAGCTGTTGTTTGATGGCCAACTGAGGTTTACTACTTATTTCATGAGAGGTCTTTGTACATTTGTGATTCTGTTTTGGTTTTTTTGTACACTGTTTGACATGTGCTGCAGTACTTTGAATCATTCACCTGCTTTAGCAAAGGTTACATGAGAAAATAAGTTGGAGTACTGGCTCTTAAGGGGGGACGTGGCAATGCGAATTGTAAATTTGGTCAAAATGTTGTTTTTCAATGAATTTGTTTCTGTAATCCTAAGCCCATGTTTTACATCATAGTGTAATTTTAGATCAAAATAAGTAGTAGAAGTTGAGAAACAAGCATTTTACGGGTGGGCTGTAATCAAAAGCTATGTGAAAATTGGGCATAGCAAAATGCAATATGCAGCTTTCCTTTGGCAAAGTGCAACCATATTGGCATCATCACAAAAGAGGACAGATTGGAGCTCAAAATAGCCTTAAAGGTGCATTTCTCCAATAAAAAATAAAGCCAGCTTCCTTCCGAGTTCTGTTTTGTCAGCTTTTAGCTTCAATTTCTTTGAGCTTCATTTTCTCAGGTTTCATTTTTTGAGTAGTTGCTGTCAGTCATCCCAGTGCCATTTCACAACAAATTAAGCTATAGCCATTCTGTTTCCTGCACTTAGATTCTAAGACAATGGTGAGTGCTGTAAAGCTGTTCATATTTGTGTGCACATCATACGGACTTCTGTAATTGCCTTTTTGTAGAAGTTGTTGATAAGACAATATGTCCAGGACATTTCAGAAAAAAATTTTGTGTGCTTACTTAGATATTAAAAACTAACCAATAACATTATGGCACAAAATGGACCTCTATAAATATCCTTATGCAAACATTTTGACGAACTTTTGTCTAATTAGCTAATTAATTTTGGGATGACAATGAGAGTCTATCAAGTGTTGCAACTTAAAATTTATATTAGATAGCTCAAAAACGATTTCAGTTATGATATCAGCATAACAAATGACATCTGTATGCCAAATTTTATCCCTTTGGCTTCAAAATAACAAAAATATTTTTATTGCCACATCCCCCTTAAGGTGAAAGATGATGCTAATAACATCCATGTCAAACTTGACTTGGAGGTTGTTAGCTGCATTGACTGCATTTATGTGTCACAGACAACTAGCAGCAGCTGTACATAAAAGTTCCTTCGTTTTCCTTTGCCACCATATTATGTCCCACTACATGGGGAAACTTTCTATAGATAGAAACATTTACAGCTGTGTGAATTCAGCATTACATTTTAATGTGTTATAGGGCATTGTGCATCGTTCTATTGATGGGGACCACAATCAAAATGAAATACTCATTTGTAAATTTATTGTCTCAATGTTTGTCATATTGTTCATGTGAAATGTACTAGAGCGTGATAATAAAAAACTAAAGTACAGTCGGTTTGTGATTGTGCAGATAGCATGGCTCTTGCTGCTTTGTTTTTAAATATGCGTGTGCAGCTTTTGTATTCCATGAAATTTGATGGAGCTGTTCAGTAGGCTCGCTGTGATGCATCATTGCTTCTTCTTGGTGAATTTCATATTAGTTCCATCTTAGTGACGACCAGCAGTGCTCACGAGTCTTGTTCCGTCTAGGCTTTGTCAAATAGGGTTCTATCTCACCATCATGAGCCATGGACATTTAGTGGCACAAATGTTGAATGTTGGTTCTCCTGGTGTAGGTGCATCAGGGACCGTGACTAGTTGGACTCTAGTTGTGCTTGACAATGTTATTTTCTACCTTCAAGCAAGGCTTACTTAGGGTTTGAAATGCATGAAGCAGACATCACAAGCTCAGACGTTTAATAAGAAAGGCTTTGTGACCTATTTGGAAATGCTGCTGGACATTGGCTCTCGGCAAGAAAAATGCTTGTGACACGGGCCCAGTTGTCCACAGAGTTTTGTATTTCGTATACTGAGGTTGTGGCATTCTTTTTAAAAAAGCAAACATATATCAGAAGCGGACAAAACTCACGATGTTCTAAAGCTAACTGCCAACAATTTTCACCCCCAACTCATGATTGCTAGGGGTCTTGTGGTTTGTGTCGCTGCGGGTTCTACTTATTATATGTGGGCTACACACACACTTCAACCTTTGTTCACTGCACGCCAAGGGTATAAGTATGCCGAATTGGCAGAACATGTGCCCAAGGGTTGGTGGTCCACATATCTAAGGGGAGTCTCTTGGTGCCACACTTCTACAGAAGTTTCTTCCTATGCCCAACATTGTTGTCCAATTAATCCCCCACCCCCACTCTGATAGGCCCACCATGAGCCACTTGTAGCCATGTTAGTTTCCCTGTTTGACAGCTACTTTTGGAGCACCTTGTTTCTTGAACCCTACAAAGTTAATGACCGCTGCCAGACAACTATGCAGTGCCTGACAGGCAAGTGAAAGGCATCCCATGCCAAACTATTTAAAGGAGCCATGTAACACTTGTACTGCGGCCGGCAAATGCTGCCGATTAGTAGTCGAGGTTTCTAAACTTGCGAGCCAAAGATTATAGCAAAATGTGTGGCTTGGAATATACAGTAAATTTTCAGATTCAGCTTGCAATCGCTCCCTCTTCTCCTGACAAATGATGCCATGAACCCAAATGACGGCACCGTAAATCCAAAGTCCACGGTCATTGGCTTATTTGAGCACTGTGAGCTGTATAGTTAAGTGGCTGCTGCAAGTTGGCATGATGTGCTTACCCGCACCCTCTGTATTATACTGAAAGTAAGCCGCGGGATGGAAGAAAAAATGATAAGTGCTTAAGGTCTTGGTGCATGCTGACGAAGAGATGCAGATTTTTGCCCCCTGTCATCCCCCCTCCCTGTGTAGCTTGCAAAATGTTCACTGGTACATAAGAAAGTGTGTGAAGCATGTGGCGAATTCCTGTAACTCAATGGTACTTTACAAACTAAATTGTGGCAGATGATTCGTGAGACCATAAGCTCTTTTATTGAAGCCATTAAACTACTACTTGGAAAAGTGTTTCAGAGCTCTTTGAGAGAGTCCTGAACCACTTTTCCAGGTAATCATCAAATGACCTCAGTATTGGAGTTAATTGCCTCGCGAATCAATTGCAAAACTTTGTTTCCAAAATTTGTTGCATGCTTTAAGCTCTTCTTCTCTTTTCTTGTTCTGATGACTACACTGAAAGCTACGCTGGAAAGGATGACATGGAGGAAAGAAGCTACGTTAGTGCACACCCTTGAAACAGCAGAACTTTGTCAATTCCCAAACAGCCAGTGATGGTAGGGGTGAGAACTCACAGGTTACAAAGTCAATGTTGTCATGTAGCTGCAAAAGCTGATATGCCCCCCTCCCCCATTTATGAAAATGTTGATTAAACCATCCGAGGAGCCAAGAATCAAATCTATGAAGAATGCAAGAATGGCATCCTAGTACTCGGGGCGTCGGTATTCATGTCACTGATTTTGTAGCAACTCCAGCCAGATGGGCTGCAGAATTATTGTGTGCTGAAAGGTTGTTCATGAAGCCACCAGTCATGTGGATAATCCCTAAAAAAAGAACTAGCAGAACATTGAAAATGTTAGTCTTTGTAGCAATAGAGTTGCTAACGATTGCTGAATTGCATACAAATGACTATTTCTGTATTTTAAAACATTTGGTATGCTGAAGCCATTTATGTATTGTGGGTCATTGAAAATCCTGCTAGGATCTTTATAAATTTACACTCTTTGGATGCTCCTATCTATCACAGAGTAATACAGTGAAGCTGTGTACCTGGAGTTTTACAGTTTATATTGTCATGCGCTAGGAGCTCAAAGAAACGTACAAGGAGACGGGACTGTCAAAATCTCAGACAAGAAGAAGGATGTCTCCGCTGGCGCCGGTTACTCGTCTTCTTCGTTCACTGGCACAGAACTGGCTTACCGTTCACTGGCACAGAACACCAGGTGGCATTACTCTTCCTCCCAAGAGAGCATCAACCCGACGCTCAAACAAAAGTGTGCACAGCAGTGGGTCGAAGTAGGCAACATAAGCAAACATTAAACAAAGTAGCGCACGAGAGAAAATGCGTCCTGGGCCTGGCGATCGGAAATAAACGGCATTCACTGTTCACATGAAGAGTTCACTGGCACACGAAGAAAATTTGCATCAAAGCGTAAAGTATGGTTTTAGGCGGACGACATGTACAGTCTCTGGGTGTGGCAACCTGCCCTGGGATGATGGTGAGGCTCCTTCTAGAACCACTTGATAGTTCACGTCACTCACACATCTGAGTATTGTAAGGTCCAAAGTACTTCCTCAAGAGTTTCTCGCTGAGACCTCTCCGCGTAATGGGTGTCCAAGCCCAAACTTGGTCACCAGCTTCATAATTAACTTCTCGGTGGTGGATGTTGTACCGCCGTGCATCTGCACACTGTTGAGTTCTGATGTGCACACGGGCCAGTTGACGTGCTTCCTTAGTGCGCTGAATGTACTCATTGATGTCGGGGGGCTAATTGATTGAGCTTGTCGATGTCCTCATACGGAATCATGCCGTCTAGCATAGTTTTGATATCTCGACCATAAACGAGCCAAAATGGCGTGAAGCGTGTAGTTTCCTGCGTTGCAGTATTGTACGCAATTTTTACGTATGGAAGGATGTCGTCCCATGTTTTGTGCTGCACATCTATGTACATAGAGATCATGTCGGCTAGAGTTTTGTTTAGCCTTTCTGTTAAACTATTACTCTGAGGGTGATATGCAGTGGTCTTTCGATGGCTTGTGTAACTCAACCTGAAGATATCCTCCAAAAGCTTTGCTGTGAATGATGTACCTCTATCAGTGATGACATATGACGGGGTGCCATGCCGTAGCACACTTTGATGCATAAAAAAACTGGCAACTTCAGATGCGGTTCCTCGTGGCGATGCCTTTGTCTTAGCGTAACGCGTCAAGTAATTGCTTGTGACAGTAATCCATTTGTTGCCGGAAGAAGACAAAGGAAATGGGCCTAGGAGGTCCATTCCCACTTTATCAAACTTGGTGGATTGATCGGTTGTAGATGGCCTGCAGGCTCTAAGGGTGGTGTCTTGCGACGCTGGCATTCACGGCATCACTTCATGTTGCGTATGACATAGGCAGACATTTTAGGCCAGTAGTACAGTTGTCGCACTCGATCCATAGTTCTCAAGTAGCCCAGATGGCCGGATGTGGGTTCGTCGTGGCAAGCTAATAAGATGTCATCGCGGAGGGCTTCAGGCACAACGAGAAGATGAGATCTGTCACCAGTACCAGTGTTCCTTTTGTATAAGACGCCATTTCGTAGGCAAAATGATGGCAACGTTCGCGACATCTGACGAGGAATGGGTGTGGTGCCACCTTCTAAGTGATGTAAAATCAGTCTTAGATTGGTGTCATTTTGTTGATGAGACATCAGATCCAGCCTGCTGAGTGTTTTCACGAAGGCGCCATCCTCTTCTGCGCTTGTACTGGCGGATTGAAGTGGTGCTCGTGATAGCATGTCAGCATCTTCATGCTTTTTGCCCGACTTTTACACGATGGTGACATCAAGTTCCTGTAGGCGCAGACTCCATCGAGCTAATTGTCCTGAAGGGTCTCGTAGATTGGTCAACCAGCACAAAGCATGATGATCAGTCACCACTTTAAATGGTCTTCCATAGAGATATGGCCCAAACTTTGTAATTGCCCAAATGACCATGAGACATTCTTTCTCTGATGTGGAATAGTTAGATTCTGCGCGAGACAGTGTGCGACTTGCGTAGGCTATTACCCGTTCTATGGCGTCTTGTCTTCATATCAAATGCCACCTAGTGTTCTGGGCCAGTGAATGAAGAAGACGAAGACGAGCAACCGGTGCCAGCGAAAACCTCCTTCTTCGTGTCTGAGATTCTGACAGTCGTGTCTCCTTGTACGTTTCTTCGAGCTCCTAGCGCGTGACAACTGGTGGAGGTGGAGAGTTGGCCAAAAAACTACGAAGTCCCAGCTTTCGATAAGTGCACTGTATGTAGATGTACCCAGGTTCGCTACAGTGATTGCAAAGAGGACGTCGATCAGGTGCCCGCCACACGTCTGATTTTCACGGAATCAGTCGGCGGTCGCTGAGGTACGGGCCCGCTTGGACTGCCTGAAGCATGGCTGGGGCTGTGGTATGAAGTGGAGTGAAATGTGGTGCAGGTTGGCGCAGAGTTTGCTCTGCCAGAAGCATGGCAGGGGTCGTGATGGGAAGCGGAGCCAAAGGTGGTGCTGGCTGGAGCAGAGTTTGCGCATACGACATGCGAGGGAAGTCATTTAGGGGCCGCGGCTCTGTCTGACAGGACGGTTCTCGTAGTGCCTGCTGAACTTCATCTCGGACGATGCCGAACAAAGAACTGACAGTTGGCGCAGAGGGTACTGATAACTTCTGCAGTTCTTCGCGGATTACAGAGCGTATGAGGTCTCGGAAGAAGTCGACGTGGCCCCCAAGATCGCCCGTGTAGTCCGTAGCAGAGGCAAAGTTCACTTGTTGCTCGTACGTCTGGGTCCATTGCCAAAGTGTGCTTTCAATTAGAACGTCTTCAGCGAGAAACTGTGATGTAGTCTTGGGTGGGCTGCGTACAAGACCACCGAACAACTGTTCCTTCTCTCCACACATCAGGTATCGCACCTTTTTCTCTTTCGGCATGTGAGGGTCGGCTCATCGAAAAAGACGCGTCATGTCCTCAACATACATTGCTATGCCTTCATTTGGCATTTGCATACGGCACTGAAGTTCACGTTCAGCTCGCTCTCAGCGATCGAGACTTGCATACGTTTCGAGAAGCCAGCGTTTGAAGTCCACCCATGATGTGAACACACCTGCCCGGTTTTGGTACCAAACACGCGCCCCGTCATTAAAACTGAAGTGGACATGTCGGAGCTTGTCTGTGTCATCCCACATGTTATGAGCAGCAACGAAGTCATAGTGGACTAGCCAATCCTCAACATCCTCATGGACAGCACCATGAAAGGAATTCGGCGTTGGTGGTTTGAACAGTGTATAGTGCATTGGCGTTGCACCTTCCATACCGACTGGGTTGGAGCCGCTTGGGACGGCGCTGCCCTGCCTGGGATAGTTAGAGCCATCATCCTCTCTAAGAGAAGTCCGAGCCCAGGGTCCAGTCCACGGATCCTTCGACTAGCACGGTGGACAGGCGTAACCACCAGTATGGAGCTGGAGCTTCTTGTACTGGGAGGGGTTCGGTGCATAGGGTACCCCGCACCTCCATCAGTTGTCATGCGCTAAGCGCTCAAAGAAACGTACAAGGACACGCGACTGTCAAAAGCTCAGACACGAATCCAATTCTACCAAAAGTTGAGGCACAGATTTCCACCACCTAGCTCCACATTAGACAGATCTCAGGAGGTTGACTGGAGGCGACCTCAAACTAGAACATTTCCCAACCCGAAGCACCTAAATCGCATCTACCCCGAACTATACCCAGATGACTCGTGTAAACTATGTGGCATGAGACACGCCTCCCTAGAGCATATGTTATGGGAATGCACACAGATACAGGACGCCAATGCAGTCTCCCCAGAACAGCTTGGGGCGCGGTGGAGAGCCGCGCTGATCAGCTCAGATTGGACAGATCAAATATGGGCCATCCAGCGAGCACGGGAGGCGGCTGAGAGACAGGGTCTCTCCACCGCCCCTAGTGCGGCTTAGGCCCACGCCTCAATCCGCTGGTTAAATAAAGTTCGCTCACTCACTCACTCAAGAAGGACGTCTCCGCTGGCACGGGTTGCTCGTCTGCGTCTTCTTCGCTCACTGGCACAGAATTGGCTCACTGTTCACTGGCACAGAACACTAGGTGGCAATATTCAGCAGTGGTTATTGTCATTATTGTAGGGAGCCAGAGAACAGCCAGGAATGCAGCCTACTTAGGAACTTCGAAGTGCTGGCAAGGTCAAGGTGTGACTGAGGCTGTATTGCTACATGCCTCTGTCAGTTATGAACTGTTGCTAAGAGCAGCTGGCAGTGCAGTCAAAACGCATTGTTAATCTAGTTCATTATTGCAGTGAGCGTTGCTACAGAACATGAGGGAGAACAAAGGGAGATGGGAATGATCACAAAAATTATTTCATGATCATTCCTATCCCCCTGTCTTGTCCCTCATGTTCTCCATTGCTGTTTGTGGCAGCAATGAAGTCCCTATCACGGCCGTAAAGCAGTCATAAATCCAGGCTGTTAAAACACACTACTGGATGCCAGCATCAGTGGAGGTAGCATAGTGTACAGGAATATCCGTTGGATAACAGGCTATGCATTAGTGCAGGGGCACTGAGCTCTGATAACAGTGAAAATGCATTTGCAAAGTTTAAAGTAGATTTTAGGTAGCGGAAAACCAAACACCTAGGACTTCCAAATGGCATGAAACTGTCTTTACATCTTTATTGTCTTTGCTTGTGTTATTTTTGGTAATTTTCATGTGCCTACGAGAGTTTTGACCGAGCCATTTATGTAATACAGTGATCGAAGTGCTATTCCAAACTGCTCTGAAAGAGAAATGCTGCTCCAAACAGTAATTTCAATTAGTAATTACTCCAAACCTTCTCTGAAATGACACGAAGAGAATGAGAATGACAAACTTTTACTGTGTGACCGACTCGCAAGTCCTAAAGAAAGAAAAGAATCTGTGTGCTATCATCTCAGTGGCTACTAGTGCGCAGCATTATCGTCTCTGATCTCATTTGTGTGACAAGTACTGGTCTATTAAGCATATAGCTCATTTGACTGTTTTTTATTTCTCAGTGTGGTGAAAATGAGCAGGATTGCTTTAATCTCATACCGATTATTTAAACTGCTTATTTGGCAACAGATATATGGGACTGGGGTTATTTCCAAGATGTGGCGCTCTGCTTTCTTGTTTGATTTGATTTATGCCACAAATACTAGTATCTTAAGTTGTAGCTCATTTTGCAGCACATCTTTAACAACCTGCCATTATTTACTTCATGAAATTTACATTGATTCTTGCCTGTTATATACATTTAATAATAAATAATAATATTTATGAGATGCTTCATCAATGCTCTGAACTCCAATTAATGTATGGAAAATTTAATATCTCCTCCCAAAGTAGCAATACCTGCTCTAAACTAGCTTTTTTTTTTCTGCTTCGTAAACACTTCTGCCAGCTCCAAAGCAGTACTTTTTCTGCTCCAAAGTATGCTCCAAAAAGTAAAAAGTCACCTCCATCACTGGTAATATATTGGCATGTGCATCTTGAATAAGGGGTGGGGCTTTTGTTATCCATCTATGTACAGGAAGTGCCCTTATCAAGGTTGGGCAGGCTCAACAAGAACTGGGCCAAGCAGAACGAGAGTTTGGTCGCCTGGTGCACACCAACTTTGTCCAGCCGTTGAGGAGGTTTCTGGATGGAGACATGAAGACAATCTTGGTAAACAAACTGGAACCGTCATGATCATCGTTCCTGTATGACATCTCTACTCCCATAGGCAATATTTAGTCAAAACAAGTTAAAACTTCATGAAATCGGAGTTTGGTAAAACCTTGAAAGTCTGATCATTGAGAATTTTGAAGAAAATGCATAATTTAAGCAAGGTCATGAATTTAACAAAAACTTTGTTACAGCTTGTACACCTTTAAAAAACATGATAAAGTCAAAGTGAGCAAAAATTTAGATGTGGAACTGACCCCAAGCTAAAATTTTAAATAGTATAGAAGCTTTCTAAATTTTAGCCATACCTAAAGAGCTACTGGTTCAGCAATTAAATAAAAACTTGTTGCTTAGCTCCTACACCTTAGAAAGCGTGGTGAAGTCAATAGTGCGTTGAAATACAGATGTGGAACCGACCTCAAGCTGAAATTTTAGATGGAAGTGAAGCTGCCCGAGTTTAAGCCATACCTATACCTAAAAAAAAAAATAAAAACGTTTCAAGTTCTTGGTTGGACTTGCACAGACTACAGTGCTTGCCTGGCGCACATCACTAGCACTTGCAAGTAGGGTGAACGTACAAGAGGTGGGCTGGCTGCACCCTAATCTCAAACGTGACTCATGCGCATACACATGGGCATGTACTCTGGCACATATGGTCCTGCTCGAGGATGGGACCGTTTAGCATGTTTAGCACCCCTACCGTTTGTTGCCTTCGGTGTCAGTTTTAATTCTGTAAAATTGTCACTCAAATTAAAACCTCAACACCATGTAACTTTTAAAATTGCACGATTACCTGTAGAGACAAAAGGGGAAAAAAAAGACTTCTAGTACAAAGCAGTTTCATACCACATTTATTTATCACAAACATTTAGGTTCATAAAATGCAGTGTAATGCCTTTTGCTGTATTTTAAGTAACTTCAACTTTAATTTTCATAAAGTTAAACTCATAAGAGGTGTTTCACTCTATAGACTATACATATTTACTAATTTACCAGTGAAATGGTGGCTGTTTTTTAGAAGTTGCATGGAATATGCATATTGTGAATCACATCATTCTCATTAACCCGGCCATTACATGTCGTTTACTCCCCCATTCTTTTGCTTTTTTTGCTTATAAATGTTTAACAGAAAGAGCGTCGGCTGCTTGAAAACAAGCGATTGGATCTGGATGCTGCAAAGAACAGACTTCGTAAAGCCAAAGCAACTGATCCAGCAGTGAGTTGGCACATTTCTTTTCCTAGTCAACCTTGTGTTCCATGTTCATTCCTTGGCTCACTACAATGCAAGTGTTCTCAATTTTAGTTAATTGATATGCATGTTAAGCTGATGATGTGCACTTCATCCATGCTTTTCGTAAGTGTACTAAGGAAAAAGATCCAGCATAAATATTGTGTTAGGAAAGTCGCACCGTGCCTTGGAAAATCACTAAAGAGAAACACTCTGGTGCGCACACAGGTTTAAAAAGCTTAAAGGCATTCTGACAAATGTTTTCATCTGCCTTTTTTTTGCAATATTTTGCTAGGGGCTTATTAGTTGTAACATGACACATCATTTGCTGCAGCACTCGTAACGTGACACATCGCTTGCTGCATCACTGGACAGATAACTTTGTTTTAATTTAACCTGTTTAGTACCGATCAATCTCAGTTTCAGTTTCAGTTTGGGAGAGCCCCGAGAATGATAGGCCGCCAGGTGCAACTAATGCCATCTAGCATGTGAAATCGTATAAAGACTGTGAAGCACTGCCACACTGGCTTCGTCTTCTCGCCATCTTTTGCTGCTGTATGTACTATGCAATGTCCTTACGTCCACTGTCATTGTCTTTATCGTCGTGTGGTTGCAACGACTTTCTTGGAGCTTCCACGCTTTCAACACATTTACTGTGGTCATGGACTCATGAGCAGCTGTCGAATTGTTGGCACAAGCATGGTTAAAGAGCAGTATTGACTATAAAGCCAATATTGTAAGTGTTCCAGCTTGGAGCTTGGCAGCAGTGGTAACGTCTCCCAAGTTGGGGGTCACCTTCAAGTCAACTCGGGGCAAGTCAACAGTGGCTTTTCAAGTCAATAAGGGCTTTTAGCTTGTACATATAGGCATGTTACCATATAGTTGAAGGAATATGCGCATGCACGGGCCTTTATGAAATGTTAACTTCTGTAACACGTACGTTAATTTCCGGATAGGCTTTACGTTTATGACCCTATCTCACAAATCTACCTTTGTTTGTGGCTACTTGAGATATCCGCTTTGCAGAGACTCCAGCTGCTGAGTCGAAACAAGCCAAACTGGGAATGTCAGTTGCGATCATGTTTTAGCCGGAATACTGAAGCTAGAGTTTTACATAGATTACCAACCTATAATACCAAAACCATAAACATGAGAGGCCTAAAGTCCCTGACAGGCTGAGTTGGTGGTACCATTCATTGCGGTCAAGATGAACATCAGGCAAACTAAAAATTGTTTTTCCAGGAACATTGTGCATTCTACTTCTGTTGTAAATGCCTTGCAGTGGCATAATCATGAATGAGCTGCCATTTTAATAATTTCTTCTTAGAAAACACTAGGCGATAGCAAACGTCCCCACAACTATGATTGCACGAAGCATCACAAGATGCCAACACCTTTGTCCGGTAACCCGGTATTTTTACAACCCTTTGTGTGCACCTGGGCACTCTGCACATGAAATACCCGTTTTGTGATTTTGCTGCAGCATTAATTTAATATTATCTAAATTAAATATAGTTAAAATACAGTAATAATCACCATGTAGTAGTTCGCGTAAATGTAAACGTATGCGTTCACATATGTATGTAAATGTTTACTTGTTAAAATGTGTTCTGGTAACATGGGAAATATAATCTGGTATTCTGGTAACACGGTAATGTTAGAATGTACATACTAGCTAGAAGTCCGTATCACAAGGTGTGGCATAGTATAGAAACTACAAAGTTCCTATATGCGTGCGAAGTTCAAAACTCTTGTGCATTACCTTCCAAGCTATATTTGCCGTTGATATATAGTAGATAATATACGCATGTTCGTGGGAATCTATCTTGCAGGCCGTGTCAGCCAAAAATATTGTGTCAGTACCCCTTAATTTGTGTGTGGTTATTTTATTTAGTTCGAGTGCTGAAGTTCCGGGCTGGTTTAATGTAGCTACAGTAGACTCCCTTTAAACAAAACTCTTTTAAATGAAATTGCTGCTTTAATGGAACAACTTCCACTAATATGTTTAGTTTCCTACTTGGATATTGTACCCCTGTTTATCTCTCAGTAAACGAAACTCCTTTTATAGGAAACACATTTTTCTGGTCCCTTCAGGTTTTGTTTAAAAGGAGTCTACTGTATTCTTGTTGTGAAATTCTTTTATGGGGTTGCTGTTCAGTGTTCATGGCATCATGGTCAGCTGATTGCACTGGTAATGCTGACAAAGTGGACTTCTGACCACTGATTAAGAGTGAAAAAGAATGGCATTGCCACAGATTTTTCGCTTTATCCTGCATCTGCTTACTAGTGAACTTAATTGCGCATCCTGTAACTACATAGGTGTATTTCCTGAATGTAACCTTGAAGCTGTCAGTACCATATCCAGTGATTCCACTGCTGTGCCAACTGGGCCCAACTGCCCCATGTAGATGCTTGGTGCTGACGTAGCTAACACTGTTCAACATGGCTTGATGAAGAAATGCATCTTCTGCCAAAGCTCATGACACCTAGGCCATTGGGGAGCGAGGAAGTGTTGCATTGATCCATTGTTCAAACGTCACAAAGCACATAATTTAAGCAATGTTTAGTAATAACTAGATGCATGCCGCTAAAATTTCTGTCACCTCTGTTTCTGGACATCGCTGCATAAAATGACATCTGGGAAAATCAGCAATATATACAAGGAACACTATCAAATTTTGTGTGCTTCACGTCCACGGTAGAGCACGTGACCAGTGGGAACATGTTTCCTCGAATATACTTCATTCATAGATCTTCGTTCATAAGAGCTTTTTTGTAATCTCTTTTTGATCTATGTCATTTTATGTCACTATATTTTTGCCTATTCCCTTTATTTCTCTGTTTTATTTCTTTCTCTCTCACAAGTTTTATGTGCTCCTTTTCAGTGAGCAAAGTTTTCGTTTAATGCTAGCACTTTACTCAGTGTTTGGGCTCGTCCAATTTTTGTGGCGCGACGCGCCGATAGCAGCCAAAAGCTTAAAGAGTTTTGCTGTTAAAAAATGAGGCATTCTTTTTTGTAAACTGGACAACCAGTGAAGCTTGTTAAACGCACGACGCAGGGATGACATGGTAGAGGGAAGTTTGGTATGTAAGGCAAGTTGTTCATAGCCGGGCTGTAAACATTCAATACTTTATTTTTTGCATTGCTTCCTACAGGACCTCAGGAGTTAGTGGCATACAAACGGAATGTTCTATCCATATACAGCTTCGCTTTAAAGATTAAAGAGATAGTGATGTTTGTAATCTTATGCTGTTCCCTTTATATGCACTTCCGAATATGGGAGCTCGGCTTAAAGCAGATCGCCATTTTCCAGGCAATCTTGTGCATGCACAAGCCGTAAAATACGCTTGCTACAGCATAGAGAGGCCTCAGAGAAAAGGAAAGATGCGTCATAAGAGCTTCGCTTGCCGAGTTTAGCTAAGTGATTTCATGTTGCACCCAGCCATACAATCGATCGAGAAGAGAAAGAATCTGGCTTTTGCCTGCGAGTTGTCTTATGAGAATGCATTAGTGACAGTGTGATATTTTAGCAATAATGCACTCTTGTATGTTGCAGTGCTTATCCCCCACTTTGGCTGATATCCACATTGATGTAAATTTAGGGTTTTATTTCATAAAGTACAATATTCAGTATCCAATATTCTGTTTATTGAATAGTTAAAAAAATGGCTGAAGCGATTATTTGAGAACACTCAAGCGCATGCTACCCTTATTTATACAGTGCTCCTAAAATGATTTCTCTTGGATATTTGCAATGAATGGAAATATTTCTAGGTCCTCATGAAATTTCATAATAGTTATTCAGATGCTTGAATGTAAATGCAACTAGCCTCTATAGAGTGCTCCAAAATGGAATTTTTGCTGCTCCAAAGTGAAAATTTTGCTACTCCAAAAATTGCTCCAAATCAGAAGTCCTTGGTAGCATCACTGCATATCGCACTTCTATTCACTGTTTCTAGCAACTTTTTTCTATTCTATTAGTTAACGCCGACCAGCAAGGACAGCAATTCAACTGGTGATGATGAGGTGAAGAAAGCAGTTTGATTTCTGAAGTCATATAGCCATGTCATGTGCTCAAGTGCTTGAGTGCAGGCAAATCTCAGGTTTCTTACAGCCACTGGCACTATCTAATTTAAGAAATAATTAAGTAATTTTATGACCCTGCACTGTTTTCCTTGTTATAGGACCTTTCTTCAAATGTGTGCAACTCTGTGCTTTTCTGTGGTCGACCAGCAAGTATTCATAGGAATGTGAAAGTGTTCTGCAAAATAGCATTTTTTTTGTTCTTTTTGCCTATCTTCTGCAGTGATCACTTGGGATGTGCTAGTGCATATACTATTGAAAAGCATTTCATAATGATTGTAGAGCCTTCACTATATGGCAAAAGTATAAAAAAATGATGTCAGTGAACTTGATATCTCGAAGGCTATGCTTTACCACGAATCGTCGAAAAGAAGAGAAAGCGGGAGTGGGCAAGTACTACAATGGAGGAGCAAGTGCGATCGGTGATGCATGCACCACTGAAGTTGGGGGTGCGTTTATTATGAGAGTGCGTTGAATCCACAAGCAAATACAAGATAGAAACACTCAAAATGTCTTTCATAGAGTAAAAAATTCTTTGCATTTAAAATAGAAATAGAAGTGGTGCTATTACATCGCAGCTTGTCGCATTGACCTTCATCTGCGGAGTGCACTTACAACACAGTGGGCACTCGTCACCTTTATAGTCTATGATTTCATGCACATGGTCTGCTTCATTTAAGCGACAACTGTTTCGTAGAGCAGACACACGAGAACCTGTGCACCAGCTGGTAAAACCTTGAAAGCTGCAGCGCAATAGTTTAACTGGCATCGCCATGGGTGCATTTGCGGTGTCGAGACCTGCCAACAGTGTGGAACAGAAAGGTCTGCATTGAAAAAGCAAAGATGTTGTTACAATATTTCACCTGTCAGGCTTGTCTCATTTGCAGTGCCGAAAGGGAGGAGGCATCATCTCCCTTCTGGTCCATTTTCGAACGTAAACAAACACCTAATAGCACAGCACCACGCAAAGAAGCTGAGTCGTTTGATGTTCCAACAGGAATACATGGGAGGAGGGACACGTGTTCTTCCTTCTAAATGGCTGGGAGACCATTAAACCCTACCATGACCGCAAAACACTGCGCAGGAGAACAAACAGAGCTGCCATAAACACAAAATCTATTTTAATTGTGAAAATTACTATCTGTTCCGACGTGGGAGCGGCCCGCAGCGTGCTAAAAAGCACATTCCGAAGGACCAAATAAAGTTCATCCATCCATCTATCAAAGGATGTAAGAAGATGCCGACTTACTTGGGGTCTAAAGCTTCTACGCACAGTGATTGAACATTCAGTGCATTGGAAGAAATCGGGACGCTGCCACAATCGCAGACCTAAACAGCAAGAAAAGCTTGGTAAGGCTGGATCTCTCACAACAGCCATTCAAATACTTACTTGGCAGTAGCGAGCAGTATTAAAGTGGACATGCTTTGATTCGTGCTCCTTATTCACAGAATACCTGTATTACCTCAGAGGCATTACTGCAGTAGCAACAGTTTGGACAGTGTGTTAAATTTTTCACAGTAATGAGCAATGAAATACTTAAAGCAATGTTGATATTAAAGTAAACCTAACAAAAGGTTAACATTTTCAGCAGAAGCAAAGTTAGACATTACTGCAATGCAATACTAAATTGATATTTTTTCTTGTTCTTTGCCCTCTGACAGAGAAACACAACCTGTGAATTACTTTTCATAATATTAATTTATGGGCTTTTACGTGCCTAAACTGCCATATGATTATGAAACATGATGTAGTGGAGGGCTCCGAAAACTTCAACGATGTGGTGTTTTTTAACCTGCGCTGACCTCACGCAGTACACAAGTCTCCAGCATTTCGCCTCCATCGAAATGTGATCACCGCAGCTGGGATCGAACCCACGACCTTTAGGTCAGCAGCTAAGCACTGTAACCACTGCTTCACTGCAGTGGATTGTGAAATACGTTGTTTGAAGGGGTACTGACACAAAACTTCTAACCTCACATTTTTTTGTTGCAGTATGTTGCTGGAGGCCTTTTAGTCATAACATAGGCACATTGTTCGCTGCAGCATGTGACAGATAATTAATTACAGGGTCCTCATTACTGCTCAGTCTTGGTTTAAAATAGCTCCAAAAACGACCAGCGTTCGTGTGCGACTACCGCAGCTATCACCACCTAGCGTGTGTAACTTTCAGCCACGTCAGCACACACAACTGTGATGCACATCCGCACAATAATTCTTTTCGAATAGGAAACGGGACAACTTTCAATGCGTGCGCCATTGCCAAAGACTCGCAAGCAGCTGCCAAGTCCCTGTTCTACTGGTGCAAATGCGGCGAGAGAAAAATGCCAGCTATTACATCATTATAAGTTGTTGCAGCGTACTCACATGAGGGAAGTAAGCGGGTCACCAAGGGCCACCTTTGAGAGTGTCAATAACGTGAGGGAGGCGATTGCTCATGCAAACTTCAAAATTATTTTAATATACCTTTATATTAATGTACCTTCCAAGTTGTATTTGCTGTTGATATGTTGCAGATGATATACTCATGTTCACGGTAATCTATCCCACAGGCTATCTTGGCCATGAAATTTTGTGTCAGTACCCTTTTAACTGGTCTACTATTTGAGACTATCATTCTGTCACTGAATACCATGGTTTATTAATCCTTACACTTCACTTTTTGAAGCGTATGTGCCATTTTTTATATTGCTATGTGTCTTTTTTCTGCTGCTCACTGGCCTCCAAAGTCAATCCGGAGGTTCTTGAGAAAGAAATTCAACAGGTAAAATTGGTCATTGTCAACACAAGTTTTATTTAGTTTCTAGAATGTATAGTCTTACATATTCTTCCTTATTACTTAGATGTGCTGACTTTGTTGTTAGGTTATGACTTGATTGATATGTGGGGTTTAACGTCCCAAAACCATCATATGATTATGAGAGACGCCGTAGTGGAGGGCTCCGGAAATTTCGACCACCTGGGGTTCTTTCACGTGCGCCCAAATCTGAGCACACGGGCCTACAACATTTCCGCCTCCATCGGAAATGCAGCCGCCGCAGCCGGGATTCGATCGCGCGACCTGCGGGTCAGCAGCCGAGTACCTTAGCCACTAGACCACCGCGGCGGGGCTGTTCAGGTTATGAGTTAGTTGCTGAAAAGAGTGTTGTAATAAATATACTTTTCTACTTTTTTGCCCTTCTTTAATGGATGACTGCTCACTTTATCGCGGTCATATCAGTTGCTGCTGCAGCAGAGAGAAAAACGTTGCAGGAACATCTTGAAGGCAATGGGCAAGAATAAACATAAGAACTGATGATTCAATAGCAAAAGAAAACATTTTTAAAGGTTACCTCTCATAAGTATCACTCACTTGATTTATGTTTGCATGTCCTGCCTGGCAGTGTACAGTGCTGTCCACAGGGAGTGTCTATTGTTGCATGAACATTTCACATTTCCTTAAATTGTGCCTTTTTAGCATTGTACAGAGTTTTGAAGGGCCATATTTTTTCCTAAAGTATGTACTACAGTCAACTGCTCATTTTTCAGACATGCTTGAAAATTGAGGCACTTTCACAGCACCGTCACAAGCCTCGTAGATGTTAATTTATAACAATGTCTGAAATTTCGGACGGTGAAACTCTTCACCATCCGATTTTATGGACTTTTTGCCAAAATTTTTGGTCAAAAATCGCATTAATTGAACCTCCAACTTCTGGCATTTCTACTGTCTCTTAGGTTTGAACCTGCGCTTTCACGAGTCAGTCTGTTAGCAGCGGTAACAGTGTCCGAAGTCAGCTTTGCCACAATGCTTATGTGTTTTGAGTTGATGTAGGTCAAAAATACAAAGGGCTAACTATCACGGCGCAGTGCAGCGATGTGTTTACCGATAAGCATCAGGAATACATGCAGGTGTGATGGGGGCATGGGGCGAACACATTAGTACAACTTAATCGCTGATGATTCTTAATCATAAGCATCTTCAGCTAACTGCTCGGTAGTGCATGAGGCCCAGCACAGTTACGAGTATACTGCACACTTTTAATTGGGGACAACCAAAACACGCCGCCCCGCCATTCGCGTTGCCCCTTCATGCGAGATCACTAAGTCCGCCGCACAGATGTGTTGCATTAAGGAATGAAAGCTACTTCGCCGTGCCTGTGTTCGGCCAGGAACTGAGTGGGAACAGTGAACACTTTCACGGCAAACATGTACGTACGCTACAGCTAGCAAGCGCCCCAGCAGTGACCGAGTCAGCGTAGTTGGCAACGTGCTGCACATAATTAGAAACGACCGGCTGCACACGGCAGCATATATCGCGTGTCAGCGTAGATTTTCACACTGTGGAGCATTGTTCACACACGTACACGGAGCGAGGGAAGTTAGGTGATCCGCTCTTCTGCCACTGTGTTCGACGCCATCATTTCCAAATGCCTCATGCCAGGGAGCCCTAACTTGATCCATGCTTTTGCTGGTGCCGGCAGCACTTGTCACAATAGTTAAGCGGAGATCGCAGCACGTACTGAATGTATCCACTAGAACCTGGACACTTAGCAAAATGCCTGAAAAGTGTACTGGAAGCCATTGAAGCTATTTGAGATTTGGGTGGCAATATTGAGCAGAATTAAAAAACATGAATTAGTTTTTTGGACTGCCCAATTTTTCCATGGTTTCGTGGTCCCTAGGGAGCTCTAAAAAAATCGGTGGTTGACTGTATATAACTTCTGGGAATTTCACTTCTAGGGAAGGCAAATTATCAAAGCTGGCTTACAATTCCTGATATCTAAAATATCTGTAGTTCAAATTATGGGCTGAGCCGGAGGCCTGTTGGGCAAGAGCGAGAGTACTGTCATTAATCATAGAGCAAACACAAGGCCCCAGGAGCTTTTCATGTGGCACTGGAGATTTGTTGGAGCAAAGAGAGTTAAGACCACTTATTAGTATCAACATGTTTGTCGTGTACTGCGCGGTAGAAAACAAGGACAACAAGCAGATGGGGACAAGCACAGACTATCAACTTAAGGTTTATTTTTCACTTACCGCAGATATAGGTATGACTGAAACCAGGAAAAAAAAGTTTGCTGTTAACATTCAAAACGAAATTTGTACACCCAATGCACGAGGCAAAAAAGTAAACTAATTGGTCATGCACACCGTTTCCCAGGAACTGTAGCTCATCTAAGAGAGCAATGAATGGTTCCGTTTGCTGACACAGTTCTCAGGTTCTTGCACCCTTTTCGCGGCTTCAATGATTATATGGGTATGATCATCTTTGTGCCTATGCATCACAACTGTGCTTTCAAACTGACCACATCTGCCGACATATTGTGCCAAGAAACCCTCCTTGCTGTTGCATACATTGTGGGCATAAACCTTCAGTTGATAGTTTGCGCTTGTCCCCATCTGCTTGTCATCCTTATATTCTTACACGCACTATACAGCAATCATGAATCTCTAACTGGCCCAATCATCCACTTTGATTATTTACAGTGTTGAGTAGGTGTTATGTTTCTTCCCAGTAATTTAGTTGAATTCTACATATTCTGCAACATATTGATAATTGCAGTTTGTAGTTATATAACTGCATATTCACGTTGCTAATTTTAACAGGCAGAAAAGGATGTGCGTTCCTGCCAGTCTGACTTCGACCGTCAAGCTGAAATTACTAGGCTGCTGCTTGAAGGAATCTCAAGCACTCACGTATGTGTTCAAGTTTATGTTCGCTGTTATGTTTGTCTCGCTTCAAACGAAATTTTATGATGCCATTCCAGGCTCAGATACATTATATATATATATATATATATATATATATATATATATATATACACACGCACACACACACACACTGCACAGTAAAGACTACTTAAGTGAACACGTTTCTCTTTCGTGTCATTCCGATTCTTATGATAGAAGTATCTGCTTCATGAATTTGCCTTGCTCTAAACAGATGTTTCCAAATGTTTCATGCAGCTTCCCTCCCCTTTTATTTTTGTGCCCTTAGAAACTTAATCACTGTGATTTTTTTTTTTTTTTCTGATCATTGTGAAACAGGGACACTAACTTCAGGTTCGTGTGTGTGGAGCCTTACAAGATCATTCCGCTTCCAGGTGAACCACTTGCGCTGCCTTAGTGACTTTGTGGAGGCCCAAATGTCATACTATGCTCAGTGTCAGCAGTACATGGCAGATCTGCAGAAAGAACTGGCCAAGTAAGTTGTTTTCTTTTGCCTTCAGCATTGCTTTCTGTAAAAATATTGCCACGGGTGCGGACTGGGTCAAAGTAGGCCAGCAATGGTAGTGAAGTGAGAGCGGAAACCGTTGATGTGACGGAATGTGCTTAGTCCGCACCCCAGGAAAAAGCCACGTCCTTGTTGTGGAGATACGTAAAGGGTCGAGCAGTATCCGTGAAGTTGATGACTAAGCGGTGGTAGTATTATCTTAACCCCAGGATGCTGCATACCTCTTTTGTAGAACACGGAATGGGGAACTCGCGAACAGTGCGCACTTTGTCGGGGTCGGGTTCGACCCCAGTACCATCGACAAGGTGGCCAAGTAGCTTAATTTGATGGTGCCCAAAAGCGTACTTCGATGAATTCAGCTGGAGGCCAGCATAGCAAAATACATCAAGAATGGCCGACAGATGTGACAGGTGGCTCTCAAACGTGGGCGAAAACACAATGAAATCATCCAGATAGCAAAGGCAGGTTGACCATTTAAAACCACGTTGGAGAGAATCCATCATGCGTTCAAAAATTGCAGAAGCATTACACAACCTAAACAGCATGACCTTAAATTGGTAAAGGCTGTCGGGTGGGATGAATGCTGTCTTTTCATAGTCGTGGTCATCTATGGAGTTTCTGCACATACCGTATTTACTCGTGTAATGATTGTACTCGCATAACAATCGCATGCCTAAATTTTGTCGTCAAAATTCGACTTTTTTTTTTTGCCCGCGTAATGATCGCACCCTGAACTTGCCGCATCGACATGTCATGTGCCAAGTCTAGCTGAACGCGCCTATCATTGTTTTTGTGATCTGAAAGCGGGCATCACTATGCTAATGCCGTAAATTTACTGATTTAAATGAAAGCATTCCTTATTTAGATGGAAGAAACTGTTTTGACGTGCGTGACGTACTCACAACCTCCATAACTGACGCAAAGAAGAAAAAAAATGCAGTTGCTTCGCTCTACGGAGTGCTTCACTCCGTCAGCCACCATGTTTGTTCTGACATCCCGCACTGTTACAGCGGTGGCCGCATGTTAGTCGACCTGTGTTCATCCCGCACCAATGTTTGTTTTTTTTTTCCCGAGACTACGTTTTTTTTTTTGTGTGTGTGCTTTGTGATCGTTTGTTGAAGCGCCGTTTCACCATGGGGCAATATGTGAGCTTTACTGCCGCGTTCAAGCTGAAGGCGCTTGACTACGCGCTAGAGCACGGCAACCGCACTGCCGGCAGACATTTCAGCATTGACAAAATCTGGATCCAATATTGGAAAAAATAGCGCGACATGCTCATGGCTACTAACAGCACGCGATGGGTTTTCTGCAGACCCAAATCTGGCAAGTTCCCTGACATTGAAAAGGCAGTCCTCGAATACGGGAAGGACATGCGCAAGGACGGTTATGCAGTGTCATTAGACATGATACGGACGCAGGCCTGCACAGTTTTCTGGAGGCTGGGAATAACCACAAAAGACTTCCACGCCTGTTCCGGCTGGACGACACGCTTCATGCAACGGAATGGACTGTCGCTGGCATTTCCAACACGCTCGACGGAACGGAAGATGACCCTCTGTGGGACAGTGAAGACACTGCCGGTTCCGACAGGGAATCGTGCGGCGACGGCACTGACGCCAGTGATGCTTCGGAGTCTGAATGAACGTTAGGGGGGTCAGAGAGGTAAAAAATAAAAGGGCAGTGGGCCATGCATGTAGCTCCTGTGTAATGCGTGCATTTTATTACAAAGGTAAGCCTTAATTTACTTTTATTTTTGGTTATGTTCATGATAGCTACCGTAAGAATTTTGAATAGCGACTTTTTTGCGTTTCCGGTGCTCAGAATATTTTTTTCACGGAAAATTTACCCTGCGTAATGATCGCATCCCGAAGTTGGAGTCATTAAAAAAAAAAAGTGCGATCATTATGCGAGTATATACGGTAGTGGATGAACAATGGCAGGACCCATCACTACTTCACGTCATTGACTGCCTTCAAGCCGGCAATGCTGACCCTTCCCTCGGCATAATCTTGCTGCAAAACAACACTCTGTATCACCTTAATTTACACCCCGTGGGCACAGAACTTTTCCCACATCATCTGCACAAAAACTTCCTTCAAGAGCTTCACGATGCCCCAACTTCAGGGCACTTAAGTGTGACCCCTACCTACAACTGGGTTCGACGATAGATTTTCTGGAAAGGCCTGTATCGTTTTGTTCGCCACTACATTGCAGCTTGCGACCTCTCGCAATGTCAAATGAAACGAATGACTTCCCCTGCCAGTCGCCTTCACCCCATTGAAGTCCCAGCTGAGCCATTTCATCGAGTGAGATTGGACTTACTTGGTCCTTTTCAAACTTCGACAACAGGAAATAATTGGATTGCAGTAGCTAGGGATTATGCCACTCGGTACACAATCACCCGAGCGCTACCGACCAGTTGCGCGACCGATGTTTTTGATTTCCTCTTATACGACGTCATTCATCAGCATGGTGCTCCTTCTCACCTACTCGCAGACCGTGGTCGCTGATTCCTCTCTCGGGTGGTCAATGACCAACTGCGATCTTGTGTCACTTGTCATAACTTAAGCACATCTTATCATCCTCAGACCAACGGGCTGACCGAACACCTCAACTGCGCACTGACAGACAGGCTTTCTATGTACGTTTCTGACGGCCACACCAACTGGGACATTGCCCTCCCGTTCATCACCTTTGCCTATAACTCATCGCGTCACGAAACTGCCGGCTATTCACCCTTTTATCTTCTCTTTGGGCGAGATCTTTTGTTACCATTTGATGCCTGTGCTCAGATTTGGCTGCACGTTAAAGAACCCCAGGTGGTCTAAATTTCCGGAGCCCTCCACTACGGCGTCTCTCATAATCATATAGTGGTTTTGGGACGTTAAACCCCTCATCTCAATCAATCAACCATTTGATACCCTGTTTTCATTTGACCCAACATCCATGGCTTCATACGCTCAAGATACCATCACCCAAGCTCTCATCGCACGCATGGTAGCCAGCCCGCACTCGGCTCTCACTGTTCCAGGCTACACAAAAGACCCTGAATGATAGTTGACACAGGGACACTGATTTTCTTCCAGGCTCTCTCATTCTACTATGGAACCCCACCCCAAGGTCTCTTCTGTAAACTAATTCATGGTAGCATAGGATGTGTTTGTTCTTGAGCACTGTATAAGCTACATGTGCCATTCTTACTTCGCTAAACCCTATTACGTTCCATTTCACACCTTCTAATTCCTGAAACAGCACAGTCAGACTAGCCTCACTAGATAGCATTCAAACATTAAACGTAGCCAAGTTCAGATTTCAATGGCGGCCTGTCTGGGCCCAGAAATTCTTAGCACCCTCCGCTGCGTCCTGCTTCTGACCGCCGCCTTGGACAGTTGCTTCGCAGCTGTTGGGGACTGAGGGCAGAGGGCTAATTGGTAATTTCATGGGAGGTGGTGGACAAGTACTGCACCAGTGTGGCCAATCCAGAGAACCACATGGTTTCTTTTCTGTTCTCTTTTGCTTTGGTGGTCACTGGGAACACCACAGTCTTTGCTGCTTTGGTGGGGAGAAGAAAGCGACACCATTTTATTTTTTCTTGCATTGTACTTTTCTCAAGAAAAAGTGGAATGGTGACATTCATGTGTCAGCCTCAGCAGAATCATGGCTACAAGCCATTCCTCTCTCCTGTCAATGTGACCAAAACACTGGATACATTCCGCCTTTTTTTTTTCTCTCTTTTTATCCCTTACTCTACAACACTGAAACACAATTTGGCATACCAACCTCTCTGAATCATTATCTTCTTCCTTCCCTTCTTTTCCCTCCTATGTGCACATGCTTTCTCTTGTACTCCACTTTTGAGGTGGGATTAGAGCAAGCAAGGCGATTATAAACTCTACAAAGGATGGCTGCTGCTGCCCTGATGAATACTAGTCCTTTCGTCAAAATGTTGACTCAAGGGACATTCTCTGTTCAATTACTTTTTTGTAACTTGAAGCATCTGTATTCTACTGAACCTCTGTCTCATTTGGATATTGTTTTTTTATAGTCCATTAGTCCAGACCCTTGTATTCAAGGGTTTCTATGAAGCTGTTGTGCTACTGTCAGACATATTTTAGTATATGATCTCTTCAAGGTGAATTGTTTATGTTCATAGCATGCATGATAATCACTGCCATAGATAATCTTAATACGGTAGACCCTTATTAAATGGAACCTGAAGTGTCCAGGAAAATATGTTTTATTTAACAGAAGTTCCTTTTACTGAAAGATGATTTAGGTTGGAAAATAAAAGTACGAAACCAGTTTTGTTAGAGACAGTTGTGCTATTTAAGCAGCAGTTATACTTAAGAAATTTTTGTTGACTGAGAGCCTACTGTATGTAGATATTTTACACACTCTATGTGATAGACTATTAGGCTTGTATACAGTTGCCACTACACTTTTCCATTGACATTGCATCATTTGTTGCATATCAATGAATGAATACCTTGCCAAGATCGTCGTCAGATTATAAAGTATAAAGTTTGAAAATTGCCTGGTTAAAGTCACTGCCACCTTTTCTTTCTGCAGCATGTCCATTGCCGTTGGAACAGGTAGCAGTGGGGACGGCAATCGCAGCGGCTTCCAGGGTTCTTTTTCATCACCTACAGCCAGTGCAGGTAGTCCATCCAATGATGTCAGCACCTTTATCAACCGCAACCAGAAACGAGCTCGTGTCCTTTATGACTATGATGCTCATGACAACTCCGAGTTATCGCTGATGGCTGATGAAGTAAGTTTCATTAGCTCTGCATTTGTCAACTCGGTAAATTCTGTGTGCATTAAAAAAACTGCACAATGTGCCTTTAGGCAGCCATACCTGCTAAAAATCTGCTAAGCTCAGATAAACTGCCACTTCCGGTTGAAAAAATTAATAAATAAAGTTCACCTTAAGCAGGAGGCTCTGTCTGTGCTCTGCCTTAGTAAAGGGCGCTTGACTGCTCTTCGGTTTGTCTTAAAAACCTGGCTCAAGCAAAATGCAAAAGGATGTGTGGGGCACGAGATATTGTTAAGTAGCCATGTGTGAATAGTGAATTTTAACATAAAAGTGAATGAGAAATAATTAGTGATTTAGTTTCAATATTTTTGTATCGAATAATATATGTAACATATAAAGAAAAATGGGCACATTTGTCATTATCCAACTAACCTGCAAAATATAATTTAGAAAGAAGGCCTCTGCTAATGCCATCCTTTTTGGCTCAAAGGAAGTAGAAACAACTTTGACCAGTAGCAGCACGATTTGACTTTCTGTAGAATAGTTGTGATAGCCTGTAAAATATGCTTTGTTGTAAAATTTATTATACATAGAGCATACAATCAATAAAGTTCTCCATACCATGCATACCATAGTGCATACAAGCCTGTATAATAAGCTTTTAAGCTGATGAAATGGGCATGATCAATCTTGCATGATCATATGATAGTTTTGGCATGTTAAATGCCACATATCAATCAATATCAATCACATTTCGCAGCCAATCATGTCAGTAGCCACGGGGACCTCAATGAGGCAGAGCATGTCGCTCTGTGAATAAGCAGCTGAAAATGCGTTTGGCCGAGTCTCAGCAATCTGCAGTTATTCACAGCTCTAAAGTGTTGTAATAAATTACACAGTTTACGCAGAGAGCTCAAATTTGTTTGTAAATGACCCTTTGGACTTTGTCTACCGGTCCAACGTCAGGGTCCCTTTAATGTATTGTCTGGAAAGTGCATTGCTTGTTTTATTATTTTAAGGAATCGTCATGTGATAAGCCTTTCCGTTGCTGTTTTGAGTTGCTAACAATACTGTTAACAGGTACTGTCTTTTAAATCAGGCCCTGCTGGGCATGCCAAATTTGTGAATTGTGGAAATCATATTACTATGTGTATTTATAACTGCACATTTCATGGTAATTTCTACTCTTACTTCGAATAGGTGCTGCACAAATAATTGCTGGACCATTAAAATGCTCGTACTTGTAAATATGTTCCCAATTGATGAAAAAAACAGCACCAGCAGAATAGTATATTTTGTTTTCTCGAACATTCATGTAAACAGGAGTAAAATGCTAATCGTAGCAATAAGTTCATCTTGACAAGAGTGCCTTGCTTGTTTTATATTTTAAACAATTGTCCGGTGAAAAGGCTTTCTGTTGTTGTTTTGATAAGTAGTGATACTGTTAGCAGTTAATGTATTTAAATCAGGCCCTGCAGGACATGCAAAATTTGTAAAATCTGAAAACTATATTAATGTGTGTATTTCTAGTGTACAGACAGACTCGCACTTGTATAGAGTGCTCAGTGGGCCATTTCAGCCATGTTTTCTGCAGAAGTATGCAAAGACCAAGGCCGTAATGATACCTAACATAGTCATACTGCATTCTTGGTCCTTGCGTTGTAATTCAAGCATGAACAGATGCTTCTAGCTAACATAAGGTAGCAGCTGTGAACAGTAACAGCGTCCACAGCCACATGTTCCACCGCTATAGGCAAATGTGATTCCATTTGTACATACAGCTACACATAGTCTGGAATAGCCTGGATGTGTATCATGCACTGTTGCTTTGCTTTTACTTTGTGACTTCTGAATGAAACTTATAACTGTGTGCCTTTCACATGTGTGGTATGCTGTCATCAGCTAGTTCTCTTAATTTTTAAAGATGAAGTTGATGTTATGTTAATAAAGTGACACGTGAGCAATAACAAAAAATATTCAGCTGACTTCATACAAATGCGTCTTAATAGAAGGCACAGTAAAATGCAGTTGTCATACAGGGCTGCTTTCATGCATGTGTTGCAGGTGATCTTGATATCCCAGACTGACAACATGGACCCCCTCTGGATGATTGGCGAGCGAGGCCTACAAAAGGGAAAGGTCCCTATAGCATACCTGGAAATCCTCAACTGATTAGATAAACATTCTTTTCTCTGTAAAAAATTACTGTGTTTACATAGTTGATATAGTCTCAATCATATGGCAGATGTTAATTTGCTAAGCATTTTCCCTGTGCTACTATGCAACACATCTGTTCAATCAAACTTAGGCATGACAATGAAGGATAATGATGCCTCTAAGAAGCATGGCTCTTTTAGTTTCGACATAGGCCTCTAAGGCTTCTTGATGCCATTTCGACGTGGTTTTCATAGTTCATTGATGTTCATGCTGGTTCTTTGATTACCATGTCAACTGCTAATGCTCATTGTTCAACTGTCTGATGCATCAATACATAGCAGAACTCACAAGTTGCAGAAGTCATTCTTTTTTTTTTTAGAGCTTCTGGTGCATACATTCCAAATGTGGGAAGTCTGTGTGAACATGATCTTGGTAGAGACCTCTTCAGCATTCTGTTTGTTGACAAACATGCAGTGTGCATTTTCCCACTAAACTTGGTGCTCTTTTTGTTTTATCTCTGCTCGATGAGGTGTGCCACACAAGTCTCACCAGTGGTCCTTACAGTGTTATAGTTTTTACATCATGCAGATAGTTCGAATTTAGAAGAATTGCAAAAACACTGCTCATATATTGCTCAGGAGGAGTTAGTAGTGTTGCCCAATATTTATTATGGTGCCCAATACAAACTGCAGCGCCTGTGATTGAAGAGGTCCTGATCCTTGAACGGTAACACTAGCAACCAAGAAATCAGCTTAAAAGATAGTCTTTATGGGAACAGAGCTAACTTTATCAGTTTTTCTTATGTTGGCACCGTATATCATGACATGGCCACTCTAACCACAGGCACTCTTGTGCAGCTCACATTGAGTACGACTACATAATTTGACATATTTCGCTTGCAATGACAGTTTTGAGTGAGCGTGTAAGAAAATTCAAATTCTCATGTACTCCTACAATGCACTCATGCTGCCTTTAACTGCTTAAAAGAAAAAGTCAGTATACTTCCCACTATCTTGAATGTTCAGAGAACTGGTTACATTATGAATAAATGTGACTTTAATATGTCTCCCTAGGTACTTTTGCATGTGCATCTCAAGTGCTAATACCACGCTCACTTTTGAGTAAAAAAAAGATGGAAGTTCAGTGTGTGGTTTTGTTGTGGTTTGATGATAATTTAAAATGATCTAGTAATTGCTTCATAGTTAAAAGTACTTTGAAACACTTTTTGAACAGACAGTTAAAAGCAGTTTTAACTATATATTAGATGACAATGGGCAGCTGCTAAACCATCAGCCTCCTACGGTGAAACAAATAGCTTGCTGCAAGTTTCCATGCTTCTTTAGCTATTATAATAAGTAAATTTGTCTCCCAGATGTGTCTATGGAAAGTAAATTAATGCCTGAAATGCCTAAAGAAAAGGAAAAAATAAAAGGAAAATGTGAACTGCTATACTCATACGAGTACCTCGCGTACATAGAAAACAGCCGGCTTTCCCGCCTTCTCTATGCTCCAGACATTAAGCACCTGTCTTCCATCTCCCTTCCAGCCCTCTGAACAAGAATAAACTGCATATTTCATGTTGAGTATGAAAGAACCTGTCGTGCTTCACAAGCTGTGGGTGCTTAGGAAAGCCTGCCATAATGAGCTGTGCAGGATAGGGCTGCCGTGTCATTCTCTCCTCCTCCTCAAGACCATTATAGGGCGCTGGCAGCATTCACTTCTTACCTTGCATGCAGTGATAGTGGCGTAAAGGGAACGTGCACTGCATACAATTAACCATTCTGTGTACCACGTAATGTCAATAGTAACGCTAAAATCTGGTGCTTGCTGCATTGTGCTATATTGAATAGAGCATCCAAACTGCAAACTCTTATCAAACAGGTGCCAGTCTTTGGGCACCTGTCTCCCATCTTTCCTTCCAACCCTCTGAACAATTCAGTGGTTCTCAACTGGGAGTCCGCAGACCCTAGGTGGTCGGTGAAGCCATTTCTATGATCCACGAAAGCCTCACCCACATTTTTCTTTAAGCGTGACTGTGCCACGTATTGATGAACTGTCCAAAAGGAAGTGATGTGGCACGTTTGATGTTTTTGGTAGCATTAAAAGGCACCCGTTTCACGCTCCAGTTGTGTTAATTTACCTATGTTCCCCCCCCCCCCCCTCAGCTGCAAAGGGTTCCAAATCAAGAGGGCCCTGACACATCCGTGGCTGAGAACCACTGGCCTAGTTGATGTTGAGCATAAAAGAGCCTATCGTGCTTCTAGAGCCAGAAGCTGTGGGTGCTAAGGAAAGCCTGTGACAGTGAGCCAAGAAAAATAGGGCTGCAATGCCATTCTCTTTGCCTCCATTATGGGACTCTGGCAACAGACACTTCTTCCCACGCATGCAGTGACAGATGGGTTGAGAGGGTGTGCATTACAAAAGGGGAAGATGTCACAGCTGTGCCCTGTATTGTACTTTATCTGTAGTGGGTTCAGAAGCTGTAAAAATGTGTAAGATGCCAGTCAGTTTTGAAAAGACTGCTGCTGATTGCTGCATGATGGGAGCGTGTAGTTTGGATGCTCAAGTCAGTACAGTAAAAAGCAGCGAGCACAAGGCTTAAGTATTAGCATTGGCATTACCTGCTCCACAGAAAAGTGCATTCTTTGTGCACAAAAGGTAAATTTAACAGGAGATCTTTTGTATGCGTGCTATTTCTGAATATTAGCATTTGATGCCAAGGGCACTGAAAAGGGGACGCTAGAATCAAGTCGCAAAGAAAGGCAACAAAAAATCGATGTTATTAATAATCAATTTTCAGTTTCTGTAACCCTATAGGAAGCCAAAGCGATGCATGGGGGCGCTGCGACTCTGGAGAGACAGCGCCATCTTTGGTAGGAAAGTAGAAATCAGGGATGTAGATGGCGTTTTTCTCTTCGCTCCAACGCGCTGCGGCTCGCTTACATGCTCGTGCAGAGAGCGTGCGTTGCGTTTGAGTCTTCTCGCAATGTACCGCCTGCTGTGCAGCTTCACAAAAATCTCTGAGCTGGACAAGCCGATAAGCGATTCAAATAAAAGGAGTAAAGCTCGTTAGTCAAGTTTTATGACGTGGAGCAAACGATGGAAGACGAGGACGCCCGAATCGCTGCGAAATGCATTTCTCGGGTCTTCCGTTATAATACCGTGTACGACTATGCCTCGAGGTAAGTCTCTGCCGACGTGCCGCGTACTCTATCCATGTGCTGTGTTGCCGTTTATGGAAACTATATAACTGTTGTTTTGATGTACCTAGCTGTAGCAGCCGTGCACTGTCATATGGAAACGTTTGCGGCGTGCTGAAAAAATAAATAAAAACTATTATCGGTCATGGCATTAATATGTTCGAGAAGTTTTAGGGTCTTGTCCTCTGTGCCGTGCATGACCCGCTGACGTCGCCGCAAGCTAAGTTTAACCACAGCGAGTCAAGTTAAAGTGCTCGCCTTTTTTTTTTTTTTTTTTTCGGCTCTCGAGTCATGCTTGCTCTATCTTTCGCGAACGCGGCTGTATTCGTCGGCTGTGACTAGATGGCAAACTGGTTCAGCTTTACACGTGGATATATAGCGTACCTTGGTGTTTTCTGCATTGTTGTGACAGCCCACAGCACAATACTTCGGCTTCGCCGGCGCTTCCGTGGGGCCGCCGCTTCCATCGCGGAAACGCAACTTCGCACAGCGAGTGTCTCGTTTTAGCGCGCCAAGCTGACTGCACTGCGCCTAAGTTCCCGCACCGACTGCAGAACGCGTTGTGCGCGTGTCGCACGCGCTCCCGTTTCGGCGAAACACGCTCACTCGCCTGAGCCACCCGCCACCCTACCTGCGACTTCTCCCGCGTCTCTCCTCAAGTGCTCCGGAGCTCGCCGCCAGGGCCAGCCGCGGCGTTGTCATCGCTCCGCAAACTTTAGCTTCGGTTCCCTATTGCTATCTTCACTGGAAACCACGCAAGATTGCTTTAAAAAATAGTTGCGCCCGCCGAGGTGACTTGCTGCGGCAATGTAAAAAAAAATACACGTGTTTAAAAAAAAATTACTCCGTAATGGCAGGACCAGGTGCAACAATCTTGGCACACGGAGAAATTTTCCTCCCGACGAGGCCTATTCCGCCCCCTCAGCTGGATTCTGTTTTTGAAACGAAATCACACAAAAATGCCAGGCCTGCTCGGAAAGCGCTGCACAGTTGCAGCAAATGCTGGAAGAGCGCTATTTATAAAGCCCGTTTCAAACTTTATTGGGGCTAATAATACAAGTGCGCTTGCAAGATACCCAATTTTCGATTAATTGATTCAGCGGCTGGTGACAAATTATGGCAGAGCTTTTTTGCATTTGGTTGAAAGCATTCAACGACCTACTTGTAATGAAATTCATATTGTGTGACACCCAATTATTTTACACATCTACCACATGGTACTGCGTTGGTTAACGTGGTTCCTTCTCGACGAGCACCGGCGTGGCTCAGTAGTAGAACCCTGTTCCATCCTAGATAATCTTTCTTATTTCGTGTTACTTTTTCTTTATTTCGTCGTGATAGTGGTTACGGACACTGACGGCGGCGGACAACTGCGGCACCCTTGTGATCTCATAAAAAGTCACAGCTTTGCCGCAAAGGCGAAGCAATGAATGTGATAGCAACAAATTAGAATGTCACGCGAAGATCGGAAAGCAGATCGAAACGTGCCCCGCGTTGCTCACGCGATTAAGTGTCTCAGTTGTTACTTCAATGTGTCTGAAAAGCGCCCCTTCCCGCAAACGGAGACTGTGCAGCGAGTGCAGTGACCTTCGTGTGCCCGGTAATTACAAAAAAAAAAAATCGCCCCGTATCTGCATGTTACTCTCCAAATGTCGTCGAAAGACGATAGTCTTGCGTCTCGAGAGAGTGAACAAAACGTTTATTTGATGTTCTGCGCAAGAAAATCAGTGAATGGTATTCTGGAAGCGCTGCGTTAAGGCGTGTTCACACTGAGCTTTCCGGCCGCCGGAAGTGCTCTGAATCCGATTCGGCGGCGGCGAGCATAGAGTTTCCTAATATACACTAGAGGGAACTCTGGAGCTAGTGCCTATGGGAGCTGCAACGCACGGCGCTTCAGCGAGCATGGGAATGATGGGTAGTACAAACATTTGTCTAATCTTCGTACTTCTGGCCCATTTTTGGCTCCGTGTGTATTCATGTGGCTTGGAGCTGTTTTATCACAAAACAAAAATCAGCAAATGTTCAGCGGTTGCGCTTCGCCACCTTATTCTTTTAGGCTTACCGTCTTGAATTGGGTCACGAAGCTCAAAAAGGTTTGTTCTTTCATTAAAAACGAAACCGCAACCAGCAATAAACGAAGCCGCATATACGATTCGCCACCCGCAAGTACGAAGACTAGGCGAATGTGTGTACTACCCATCATTCCCTTGGTCGCTGAAGGATCGCAGTGACAGAGTCCCCTTTAGTTAATTTTAGGAAACTCTATGGCGGCGAGATCCGCCGAAAGGGCCCTGTCCGTGGCGATCGCTCTCAGACCAATTTTTGCGGCGTCTGCCGTCGAATTGGTCACCGCGGACCAATATGAGCTCTAGTCAAGGAATTTTGAAAAATGGCGGCCAAGCCCTACTCACTTATCACGTCACAGTTCACGCAACTGAATGCTGTAACCAACGGGAGTAACCCACTTTGTGCCTACCTCACGTCCCTATTTCGTGAAATAGATGACCGAGCTTGTCGTTGGCGAGACCAAGCTTGTCGCGGTCTTGCAGAGCAAAACGAACCTGCCAACGCCACTGCCGTCGGTAGTTCTTTCTGCTCTTCATGCATTACTACAAGACAGCGATTTGCCAGCAAAGTAAGCAGTACTGCTTCTTGCTTCCAGCGTACAAGAATCATCGAAGTCCAGACCACCGGATAGTGTATGCGGCGTTTGCGAGCCGTGACAACAACCGGGTGACAGTGCATCCATCCTGCGTTAGGCGGCAGGAGAATTTCGCTCGCTGTAGAAAGCGGATTCTTCAGTGTGAACTAGGGGTTATAGTGCCTCGAGCGTACAGCGGAGGTGAACGAGCGCATCAAGCCACGTCACACGTGAGACATGAGCGCTATCTGGCAGTTATCCTGGAAAACGAAGCGCGCCGCGTGCGCTCCTGTCTCTGAGGTGGTAAGGTGCAGAACTCAAGGCGGCGGGTATAGGTGCTACCACCGTGTCGTCTTAGCAAAGCGTTGGAAACGCTTGCCTTTTCGTGCAAGCGTTGCATGGTCAACGAAGCGGGATAAACGTTACGGTCCTTAGAATTATGTATGCAATTTCGAGTAAAAAATACACATGCATAATATTGACGTGTTGTAATGGTGCCTCAGATATGCGCAATAATTGCTGTTTAATTGACAATTGCACAAGTATGAACGCTGAACCTCGAGCAATATTGGTGGGTGCTGCGGATGGGGTCGGCCGTTTGGAGTATCGTTTGGTCACTTTGGTGCCCTTTAGAGTACATTTAAGGGTGGACAAACAGACAAATGTAAAGATAGTGTCATGCAAGGTTTTTCTTACCGATTTCTTTCTCCTGGGCTGAGACTCGCAGAGTTTTGTTAAT